TATACAATAAAAGAAGTCTATGGAGTACTTTTGGGATCAATTACGGAGAAAAAGAGGTCAATCGTACAATATCTGCTAAGTGCACCACGCGAAGGCAGCAAAACCAGAACTGGAGATGGACTACCGCGGTCCCGGCGTAACCGCGGTCGGGCCGCGGCAGAAGGCTGTTGCGGATTCTGAGAGGCTAGTTGGCCGCGGTCCTGGCGTGACCGCGATAGGAAGCAAAAAATTGAGGGACTGAAGTGCAAAACACGGGATTTTTTGCCCAAAACCCTATATTAAACAATTGAACTCGCCCAAGGGAGGCATGTAATGTTTTAGAAAGTACTTTGGCAAGATAAACAAGTGTGAGAGATCACCCAAAACATCATATTTTCTTCTTCCCTTTATTTTTCTTGCAATTTTGATCATGAATATTTTCATAGTTTATTTACCCATTGTCATGAGTAGCTAAATCCTTTGTCTAGGGTTTTGATGGAACCTATTGAAGGATGAACTTCTTGATTATGTTAATATAGTTTGCCAGTTTAATCTCTATTTGTTCAACTACGTGTTTGTTATAGTTAATTGACAGGATCCTCAATTAGCTGTGCCTATTTAGTATGCATAACTCGGGAGAGAGTGCATATTTAGGTAATTGTTGAACAACATCACTCCCAAAGTATAAGAGGGATCTATAACTGCGGGTTTAAAGGCGGGATTAGGGATAACGAAGTCTTGGGTGCAATCTAAAGTGAACTGTAATAAACAAAGCCAGCTAGCGTATCTCGGGAGAGTGCGTCTAGTAAATTATCGTGATTACTCGGGAGAGATTCACGGTAAAAAGAGTGTTCATAGTTGATAGAGAGGTGTTGGTAAATCTATATGAAACATAAACAAAAGGGATTCCATCAATAGGGGAAATTACTACCTTAGAACCTTCTCATTATTGTTCACAACTTAAGCATATTTAGTTTACAACTGTTTATTGACTTTCAATCTTAGTTATTAAATATACCATCAACTGTTATTCACAACGTTTGGGGAAGTTGATTCTAAAGAATTTAGTAAGTCTAATGAAAGTAATTGATCGGTTAATCCTCTGTGGATTCGACTCTAGGCATAAATACTCAGGTTATATTTGCAACGTCCGCATTGTCCTTTTATAAAGCATAGTTGGGTGTGATCACTGTTTCCGAAAGGCCCTCGGCTCAACAAAAGATGAAAGGAAGAACAGGGGAGAAGAAGAGAAGGGGGAGAGAGGAAGGCGATAATGCTTTCGTATTAAAGCTCAGAAAAAGAACTTTACTTTTGCTTACGGTTAGTTCTAACATAATGATTGTACAGTTCATAGTTTCCTTTTTTGGCAACTATTCTAACGGTCTTTACCTTTCATCATTTTATATTGGAAGTTAAGGTTCTTTTTTGTTTTCTTGAAATTAAGTTTTATGTCCTTCTCGAAGTGTAACATCACATTATGGTAAGAGGCAAAACTAGGATTTAAATTTATAGATTTAAAATTTTAGAACGAAGAATCAAGTGTTAACAATTGAATTTTAAATTTAATTTTTTTTATATATTTAATGAATTTTAACGCAAATACATTGTTGGAGCAAAAATTATTGGATTCGACCGAACCCATATATAGGCTTCTAGCTCCGCCCCTGATGGTGGATTCTGATTTGTAATCAAATTGTTTAAATCTTTGCAAGCATATACAAATGGTCGATTGCGTTCGCCTTACCATAGGGTAGCTATGGTTGGGAACAAAGATAGGTTCTCTCTTCAACTATTTTCAGCACCAAATGTATTTTACAAAATAGAGGCCCCAAAAGAACTTGTGGATGAAGAACATCCTTTACTTTTCAAGCCATATGATCTTCTTGGTTATGCTCAGTATATTGCTATTAGAGCTAATCAGGGATTTCCTAATGTGCTCAAGTCTTTTTGTGGTGTTTGATTTATTACAGTTTAAAATTTAAAAGCGTCAGCTTATGTTTTATGCTATGTTGTGTGGATTCTTCAAAATATTATCGTATCAGTGTCGGGTTCCCAAAAAGTATACTATTGGAGAATTTGATACGCACTTAATGATATTTTTGAAGAGTCCGAACAACATAGGCTTTATGTTTGGTATGTCTGTTATGCATGATCCTCAATCCTCCAGATCAATATATCTTATTAAAGGAGGATTTTATGAAGTTTTCCTAATTGTGTTGTGGCTTGTAACAGATAGTAGTATTATGCTGTATACCGGATTTTATGGTATTATCCTATTTGTGCTGTGGCTTGAAACAACAAGTGTTATTTATGATTTTTCTTTTTTCATATTTCCCTATTTATGGTGTAGCTTATATAATATAATAACAAGGACATAGTACATATGCATACATATGTACAAAATATCTATGTACGGTTTGGGGTGAAATTCAAAAATAGCCATATTTATAAATGGTAATTGAAAAATAGCCACAATTTCAAAAGTAATCGAAATTTTGTTATTTTTCATGTAAAGATAAATCTGAACGAAAATACTTTTTAAAATCCGGAAAATATTCCAGCATAATATACTGGATTTCCAATATAATACTGGTCCAGCATAATATGCTGGAAGTTCATACACAAATGCTCCAATCTCCAGTATATTATGCTGGAAAATTTATTGTGTTTGAGTTCCAGTATGAAATTCATACACATGTGCACCAATCTCCAGTATATTATGCTGGAACTTTCCGTGTTGCAGCAAAATAGTGGTTATTTTTCAATGACTTTGCAAATGTTTGCTATTTTTCAATTGACAGTCTGAAAAGTTGTTAGCCCGTACTATTTTCACTACGATTTGTGTACTTTATTAATATATATATATATATATAAACTTTCCGTGTTGCAGCAAAATAGTGGCTATTTTTCAATGACTTTGCAAATGCTTGCTATTTTTCAATTGCCAGTCTGAAAAGTTGTTAGCCCGTACTATTTTCACTACGATTTGTGTACTTTATTACTCGAGCCCATATATA